CAACTGGGATCTCATCTTATTAAAATGCTTCTGCACTGCAAAAGAAACCACCAACAATCTACAAGACAACCTACAACATGGGAAAAATTTTTTTACCAGCTGTTCCTCGGACAAAGGTCTACTATCCAGAATATATAAACAACTAAAACAAGTCAGAACCCTAAATATAAAGACCTAATTAAATCTGAGTGTAATCTAAACAGTGCTACTCAAAACGAGTCTCTACACTAGTGCTAGTCAATGAAATGTTTGTTACAGGTCAGTGATTAGAAAAGCTTAGGCCAAAATGTTCATCGATACAATATATTGCTTTCTTTATGGAGAAAATTTATGAAAACTATCAGCTGAAGTAAACAGCATGCCTAGTGTGGTTGTTGATTTACCCTCCTGTGCAAGTTCCTTATGGACCAAAACCAGTTTGCAGACCAGTACTTTTGAGTAGCATTGATCTGGAGATTTCTTCTGAATTGTACTCTTCCATGAAGAATTCCTTTTATAAGGAAAAAAAAATCTTGCTCGATAGCCTCCTTCTCACCCCATGTATTCTATTAGCATGTTCAATAACTTGGTTGAAATCTGATCAACAAACCACATACTGCATGTATTGATAGTGCACAATTTGCTAAGTTTTGACATACAGACACCCATGCAAGTGTTACCATGTTCAACATAGTAAACACTGGTAACTCCTGCGGTCTTTCTCTTGCTCTGTTGCATCCTTCCCCCAGGAAGCATTGATGTGCTTCCTGTCACTACACACTGATTGCATTTTCAAGAGTTTAAATGGGATCATACAGTAAATGTATTTTCTTCCTTTAGGTCTGGGAGTTAAACCCACGGCCTGCAGATGCTAAACACATGGTCTACCACCAAGCATAGTTGGCATTCTTTCTGAAAAAAAAGTCTTATTTCAGCATCGTTTTGAGATTTTGTCCACGTTGCATATATCAGTAGTTTATTCCTTCTTAATTGCATTGTTGAGAAGTATCCTGTGGTATCGTTCTGCCAGTTCATGAATTTAGCTGCTGATATGTTGGGTGTTTCACATTTTGGGCTTTTACAACACAGAGAATGCTGTGAACATTGTTGTATGCATCTTTGTAAGGACACAGGCTTTCCTTTGAATAAATAAAGTGAAATGTTGCATTGAAAAAAAACAATTAAAAAAATGGGCATCTAAAATGAACAGATGTTTCTCAATCAAGCAAAAGCAGCAAAAAAAAAAAGAAAGAAAAAGAAAAAATATTCAATATCACTGATCATTCAAGAGATGCAAATGAAAACAATGCTGAGATTCCACCTCACCCCAGAAAGAATGCCTGCTATCATGAAATCGAAATCAACCAACAACAAATGCTGGCAGTGTTGTGGGGAGAAAGGAACCCTTCTTCATTATTGGTGGGAGTGCAGGCTGGTGCAACCACTATGGAAATCAGTGTGGAGAGACACCGAACAACTAGAATTAGAAGTCCCATTTGACCCAGCTAATCCTCTGCTGGGTATCTTCCCAAAAGAATTAAAAGAATCATAGCATGGTGATATATGCACACCCATATTCATAGTGGCACTGTTTGTAATAGCTAAAACTTGGAAACAGCCTAATTGCCCATCACCTGGAGAATGGATAAAGAAGATGTGGGTTTTCTTTATAAAATGGGGTATTTATTAGTCGTAATGAACAAAAAACTAGAGACATTTAAAGCTAAGTGGGTACACACTGAGGCTATACTCAAGTGAAATAAATAGGACACACATCTGTAAATACTGAATAGTTTCTTTGGTGTGAAAGACTAAAAGTGCAAATAAGGATTAAAATGTATAACTGACATTGTGAAATATGAAGAAAAGGTGTAGAGTAGGGGAAGTGGGAGGGATAGGGGAAAGGAAAGAAGGGCAAAGAAAAAATATGAGAAAAGAAAAAACATGGAAGTAAAGTCTTTGTGAATAGGGAAGGTTGGAGGGGGTGAAGGGACGTTAGGGGGAGGGGGAGAAAATAAGAACCAAGATACATCATGTAAAGGTACAAGATTCTAAGGATGAATGTAACTGTATTGTATACCTAAAATGTACCCATAAACTTAATGGAAAAAAAAAAGATGTTTCAGGCAGCTGCTCCTTTATTTTCCAAGAGGAGTCCTGTCCAGCAGTTTTCCTAGGCCTAAGGGGTCCCCCACTTAATGTCTTAACAAATTTTAGATGACCTCTAAGAACCAGATTGTAACAATTAACATGTTATTTTTGTCCAATGAAAAACTCTCCAGTTATTGTACACAGACAACAATATGTATTGTATTTGTAAAACCAATCTCAACATCATTTTTTTGTTGTTTTGTTTTTTGTTTTTTTTTGAGGCAGGGTATCACTATGTAGTTGAGACTGATCTGGAACTCACTATGTAGCACAGGCTGGTCTCAAACTCATAGTGATCCTCCTGCCTCAGCCTCCCGAGTGCTGGGATTACAGTCATGTGCCACCATGCCCGGCTCAACATCATTTTGATCAGCTGACAACCTGGGTGGAGACATGTTTCTAACCCTAATGACATTTATCTATAAGCCATCTTACAATCTTAAAATTCTAAAAGATTTTAAAAAAAAGAAAAAAATTGTTGAGCTCAAATAAAACAGATGTAAATTTTGCAACAAACTAAACAGATGGACAAACACCCATAAGACAATTTGTTTATAAGTCAGAGTGCACCTGGATGTATTTGTCCAAAAGGAATTATAATAACTTTTTGTAGCTATAAATAAAACTAATCTGAACTTTTTATAGGTCAATTAACAGAGATCTCTTGTAATAAGAATTGGAAAGTATAAGAACCTTTTACTCACTGTATTTTCTCTGTGCCCTCTTCCTTTATCCTCCAGAGTTCAGTCACCTATATACCTTTTGTCACTTATTCAGGCCTTTTTCTTCTAACCACATTTGTTCATTTGTGGGACCTCCCCACTTCCGCAGAGGGTGACTCCAACGCGGCTTTTATCACTCTATTCTACCTTTAGTTGTCCATATTTTAGGATTTATTTCTGTTTCCACAACGGAGAGGCAGCATACCTGACACGGGTAAATAAGACATCTTTTCCTAGGAGGGGAACTGGATTTTCAGGCATAATTAAAAAGAAATGGGTGAGGGCTGGAGATTTAGCTCAGTGGTGCTGCTACCTGCCTCAAAAGTGCAAGGTCCCGAGTTGGATCCCTGGTACAAAACAAAACAAAAAAAACGGGTGAAGAGAAAGCCAACTCATTTACAATTTAAGGGTTGAGAAAAGTAGCAAATTACCTCCTCTCTGGAGATTCCTTTCACTGATGTGTGATGGAAGGCCAGGGTTGAAGAACTGACAGGCACCAGTGTCCAGCAATAGGCTGATTTTTCCTCTGTAGTCATGATTACCTGGGGCTCCTCCATGGAGATGACAGTCCAGCCAGAGGGAGAAGTATGCTCCAGGGCCCGTTAGTCTTTTTTTTTTTTTTTTTTTTTTTTTTTTTTTTTTTTTTTTTTGAGACAGGGTCTCACTATGTGGTTGAGACTGCCCTGGAACTTACTATGTAGCCGAACTCACAGCGATCCTCCTGCCTCAGCCTCCTGAGTGCTGGGATTACAGGCATGAGCCATCATGCCCGGCTGGGGCTAACCAGGCTGGGGCTGGTTAGTCTTGTTGGATGACCTGGTAAGATGGGCCTGATTCTTGGAGCTTTTGCCTCAGGGAGTAGCCTGACTTTCAGTGGTCACCTTTGCAATCAGGGAATGGCCTAGGGGCGGGGCCTCTTAAGGAGCCCTCTTAAGGGGCCCTCTTAAGGTGGCCTGGCTTTCCACAGCAACAGTAGGTTAGTTTAGTTGTTAAGCTCTTTTTTGGAATGCCAAGAATCAGACTGAGTTTTTTTGGTTTGGTTTGTTTGTTTGGTTGGTTTTTTTCCTTTTAAGGCCAAAATTAAAGCAGTGCTTTCTCTTGTTCTGTTTTTTCCTTGGCCTCCTTCTGGTCTTGACTATAAAATACCTTTTTTTTTTTTGAGACAGGGTCTCATTATGTAGTTTAGGCAGGCCTCGAACTATGTAGCTCAGGTTGGCCTCTGCCTCCTGAGTGCTGGGATCAATTATAAAATACTGAAGAAGCAACCGTTACTAAAATATCAAGTCAGCTTTCTGGACTAAAAACCATCTTTTGTAGCTTTTTCCTAATATCTGGGGCTCAATAACCTGTCCTTTTATTGAATCAGAGATGTATGTTTTACAGATGTCTTTTATAAACAATCTAAGAAGGCATCTTTTTCCTGATAGTCCATAGCCTAAAATAATAGAAGGGCCTAATTTTCTGTCCTTTTTCAACCTTCAAGGACACATGCTTGAAAATGTGTTTTAGTCCAGTCTCTTGTCTGGCTGGCAGGCCGGTGAGACTCTTGCCTGGGAACTGCTTGGGCTCCAGTAGGCAACAGCTGTTCCTCCAGTTGCCTCTCATTTGACCTTCTAAGGTCTTGTGTAGGGACTGCTTGTGTTCCAGTAGGAACTGGTTGTTCCCTGGCTATCCAGTTTCTGACCCTTTGAAATTAATATTCATTCCCAAATATAACAGCAGTTTGTCCTGTACCTCGTGGATGGTTAGAAGTCAATGTTTAAGAGTAACATTATATCTCTCCAGTCTAGTCTAGTTCATAGGCCTGAGTAAGTCCTCTAAAGACCTGCGTGTACTTTACAGGGTCATTTGGAAACGATCCTAGATTTTGTCTGACCTGCCTTAGATCACTGGGAGGAAAGGACACATGAACACAGGTATGGCGCAGCTGAATTCGCCGTTTACTTCCTGTGGCTTATATTTTGAACACAAAAATTATTTCTTGATGTAAAGAAAGTCTGAACATAAGGCAATTCTGACTATTTTCCCGCTCTCTTATGGTACAATTCTAGTTGTGAAATAGCATTGTAATCAATAATTTCCTCTGCATTCTATCTTGGCTCCAGGAGGCAGGCAGGCCATGCATGGGTGCAGAAAAATATACTGCTCTTTTTTTTTTTTTTAATTAACATGTAAAGGTCAAACTTTTTCCAGCACCTAAGTATGGACAGCATTGTAAAGGAACACAGCGTGAGCACAGCCATATTGACCTGTGATTCACCCGAGCAGTGTGGACGTGCCGTCGCCCATAGCAACGGGCTAGTTCTACTGGTGGTCTGATCTGTTGCCTAGCTAATGTAACGGTTTCCTTCCGGAATGTGTGGGCGGCAGCTGGAGAGTATAAAAGGAGAGGTTCGGTAATAAAGCAAGGACCATGAGAAGAAAACTGCCTCCCGTCTCTCTGTCCTCGTCCTTTCAGGTTTAGGACCTGCTGGCAGGATCCTGACGTCGCGACACCTAAGAATATGTACCAAAGGAGTAAGAGAATTTTGATGTGGAGTCTCCCATTCTAAGGCCCCCCCATCCTCCAGCGTTTCCCTTAACTGGGCACCTCAGCCGTGCCCCTAGTCAAAATTAAACACCCACACAGCATCATCTGCAGAGGCCATGTCGTCTCGCAAACTTATGGCATGGTCTAGACCTTTGTTTCCCCTGGGGAGTCTATTCTTTCCCTCTGGAACTGCTGAGCAGGGTACAATTGTCTTTAACAGTACATCATTTGCCTGTTTTCTGTTTGGGGATCCTGCTTCTTTATGGCACAAATTCCTGGTGCCTTTCCTGTGCCCCTTTAGCATCTTTTGCAACTGCGCTGTAGCTGCCTCCCTGTCTGGCCATGGACTCACTTGCGGTGCTAGACTTGCCTCTTGGCTCCCAGTGTTGGGCCATTTCCAGCTGCCCCAGCAGCCTCCCTTGAGCTCTTCCCAAATCCCCCTGGCCAGCAGCCTCCATCAGACAGGGACTGTCCACGTTTGCCTCTTGCATGATTTGCACCAATTCTGTGTTTCTGGGAGTCCTTGGAGTCTCTCTAGACTATCTGTGCTGCTGTCAAAAGCCAGTCTGTCTGAGTGTAGTCTCTTGCCCTGTGGGCTGCTTCCCTTGTAGTGGCCTTGGCCTCCAAGCTCTCACTTGGATTTAGATTCTGCTTCTAGCTCCGGCGCAGGCACCATACTTGGGCCGGAAGCCCCCATCCCAGATCCATTACCAGCTCTTTATCGTCATGGTCTCTGTAGATTGCAGCTCTCTGCTTCATTTTCCATCTCACCATCAGCCAGGCCTTCCTGCACGGAAGCAGCTAGGTCTCTTCAAACCCTAAGCTCTTCGGTCTGTGTTGCTGAGCTGTTATCTTGGCAGCATTATTATTTTTTCTGGACATGATTTATAAGCAGCACGTATCTCTTCTTTGAACTCTTTTCTGAATTGTCTCTTAACTCTGCTGTGGACTTGTTTCCTTTTAATGCAGCCTGGGCCTGGGCTGCAACAAACCCTGCTGCACCGCATAGATTCTCTTTTCACCATTTCAGAATGGGGAGGTACACTCGAGGTTCAGACAGCCTGAAGAAGAGACAAAAAGTCATGAAAATATCTGATATCTGTATTTAGCTGCTCGGCCATCCTTGTGGCTCCCAGCTGCTCTTTGCCACCGCTGTACATTGTCAGTAGTCCCCAGCAGCGTAGACACTGCCCCCTCAGCCCTCATGGCAGCCCAGAGTTACACAGGTCTGCGCAGTAGTGGCCTTGCGCCAGCGATGACCTTGGTTACATGAGCTATTTACACAGGCCAGCAAACGGTCTTGGCTACACGAGTTTCTTACATTGGGGCGTCAGGAGATGCACCTGTCTGGAGTCCTGCTGACACACAATCCACTGGGAATCTCCCAGATCCCCTTCATCCCACAGCCAGAATGAAGTACCGCCATCTTTCGCTTTCATATTTCCCTACCACTTTCTAGCAGGCTCTGCATGGTGTCCCCACTTCCGTTCCTAGCAGCTGTCCCCTGCAGTGTTCCCAGGGTAAGGGCAGGAGGACGTACAAGCACAGGCACTGAGGCCACAGCTGCTCAGGCAGCTATACATGCCGAAGCTGCTAGGCAGGTATCCTGGTCCCAGAAGTGTCCTGCTGGGTGGAACCTGGCTCTACCTTACGCCTCCACACCTTCCTCATCAGCACGCCACACGTACCCTTGCTAGCGCATTCTTTGCACATGTACCCCATCTTGGCTTATAGGTTCTAAAGCTGTGACCCAGCAACAGGCCAGAGTGGTCTGCCCTTAGCCTCAGTCATCCTCTTAAGGAGAATGCTCAGAGCTCAGCTGGATTTCAAGGATGGCATCTTCCCAACTCCTCAGTGGGCAGGTCCCTGGCCAAGCTTTGCCTCTCAGCCTTGCCCCTGCCCCTGAGAGGTAAGGAACTGCCCCTGAAGGACCCAGCTGCCTGATGCTGAGTTCCTTAGCCAGGGGACCTAGAGCTGCCCACCCCTCTGGGAAATTGGTATTGGCCATGCTATTGGTATCCAGTGACTGAGCCTGCAGGCCCTGCCTTCCTTCCTGGGGTCCTTACTTCAGTCAGAAAAGACTGGGGCTGTTTGCTCATGACAAAGATTCCAGCAGCTCCCTATTTACCCCAAGGACCAGGAAGTCACCCCTATGCAGTCTGTGACGCCCAGGTATGTCTAAGACACACGCACAGGGAGACTGTTCACAGCTGGTAGAGAGCTGGAAAAGCATGGCTGAGGTGGAGAAAGACTCCATAAGCACAGAGCAATAGGACCATCAGAGAAGGTGCTCCGGCGGCACTAGGGGTGTACAATCTGTATCAAGGCACCTGGTGGCACATGGAGGTTCTGAGTCCCCCACAGGCCCTCCATGCACCCACCTTGCCTCTCCTGCTTTTTATCTACAGAACCAAAAGTCCCTTATCAAAGATTATCAGAGGTCCAAGGCTACTGAGGCTTCTCCTAAGGAGTCCAGGTCTGGCTTTTCCAAGTGAGTAGCCCTATGCCTCTGCCCTAACCAGAAGAGGCTTGGCAGAGTGGGACTCACTGCTAACTTCCCCAGGGTCCAGATGGCCATGTGGCTTCCCGAAGAACTCCAACCCAAGAGCTCTGTACAAAATCAAAGGTCTCATTGCAAGGGAAGTAGGTGGCACCAGAGGGCACCAGCGAGAGCTTGTCAGGCTCGGCTGAAAGCCCAGGCCCCATGTTAGGGTGCCATGCTCCTCAAACACAGACTGTCCCTCTCCCCGCCTGCCACCTGATTCAGAGCCCGATGCACACAACCAAGAGTGCTGTCTGTCTAAGTTGAGGAAACGCTGTTGGAAAATGTGATACTTAATAGGAAAAACGGACAGGACGACTTCCTAGAATCTGCTCTAGTGGCCGTTGCTGTGTCTGGGAGGAAGTGAGGCTCCCCTACCCTCCTCTCCTCCTCGGACCATCTTCTAGGCCCCTCTTCACACTCCCTGGCCTCAGCTCTGTCTCCTTGCTGACCCTGGCTCCATCCCTTGCTTCAGGCAAAAATGATATCTGAAAGCAACTCCTGCTTTGCTGCTCCTTCAGCTTGGGCAGCTATTCCCTGCCCCACCCCCATTGAATGGAAGCCCACAAGTGAGCTGCAAGAATATCAGGGCCTTAGGAAGAGCAGTGCCAGGTCTGCCTGCCCCAACAACCCCAGAACCTCCAGAATGGAGTCCCCCAACCCAACATGTGTGGAATCCAATCTCCCATCCTCTACTCTGGGACCTACCTTCCCCCCACCTTGGACCCTTCCATATCTCCATTGTGCAGACTGCAGTCTCTGCCACCAGTGCCAGGCTCTCAGCCAACACATCACGGTCTTGGCTCCCTAGCCAGTGTCAGACTTTACTGTAACCCTTGTGGACACCACTGCCCCCTCCTATCCCCTCCTGGGGCCTCCTGCCGGCCCCAGTGGAACATCCTTTCCCTGGGCCCAGGCCCTTCTCACAGCCCACAGGGTCAGCGCACCCTCAGCCACAGGCACCTCCAGCCTGCCTGGTGTTCTCCCACTACACCCCACTTGGAAACATTTCATTAGATCTGGCACTATCCAGCCCATATTTGGGGATCCTGGGGGGCAGCAGCACAGAGACCTCAGGCTTCCCAGCCCTCTCTAGTTTGGAGACGGAAACATCACTTCCTGATCACAGCAGAGCCTTCTGGTTCTAGCTCCCCAGCCAGCTCCCCTTCCTCAGCTCTGGGTTTCCCCAGTGTCCCCATAGAAAACTGAATTCAAAGGCCAGAAGCCATCTCCCGCTTGTGCTTAATCTTAGTTTAAATTAGCAGTTTATGAATGCAGGCTGCCTCTAGGCTGCCATCTCTCTTTCCCCCAAACAAGCATTGTTATTATGTATTGCAAACATACAGAACCCTAAAAAAAAATAAGCTAGTCGTATCTTGTCGAGCATTGTACAGGTTAAGGATCCGTATACAAAACATGTTCTTTATTTCATTGTGGAGATTTTTTTTTTTTTTGCCTCAAACCAAGCATATCTACTGCTAGTTTTTTTAAAAAAATATTTTCTTATAAATTCCATACCAAGTAGGGAAGGCAGCCTAGGCACAGACAGACCTTCTGGGCACAGTGCTATGCAGCCCTGGGTTTCCCAGGGGGTGCACCGAGAAGCCTCTCAACACCTTGCCCTGCCCCAGCCTTCCTGGATCTGCTCTTCCTCCCAGGAGGGGCTGCCTCACTCTTTGTGCTGAGGACATGCAGTCACGGTGCCAGAACACACAGGAGTAACTGGCCTCACTCTCTAACCTTGTAAGTTAGACACTACTATTGTCTCCACCCAAAGTATATAACTAGAACAGCTTATTAAAACAACAGGCTTGTTTACATTTCTAAGGAGCCATGTTTTATATGGCTTCATATTTATGCACTGTGCAATATATAAACTAAGCATTCATTGGAAAAACAGAAAGATAACATTTTCCGCAAAGCAAACCTCAAGTCCAGAGAGCCTCCTCTGAATCCTACCGAGTATGTCAGTAGAAATAATGCCCACCTCCTGCATACTCTTCCGGAGCATACAGTTGGAGAGATACCGCCACACTGCTTTCCTCAGATCAGAAGACTCTTGATGCCACCTCAGCCATAGATTCCAAAAGAGGAATGACAAAGCAGTCCCGAAGGTATCTGTCAAACCGTGACTCCAATCATTGGCAATCTACAATCAGAGATTTTCAGAAAGAAGAGAAACTGGGATTTTAGGACAGGGTGCCCATGGGTTGATAAGGACAGAACCCTTGCTGTCTGGGTCCTCCAGGGAAAGGATGACAGTGCTATTGGGTCAGGACAGTGGACACTTGAAGACAGAGGCAAGTGGGGCTTGGAGACCCTTGGAGGGGTCTAGGGTAGAAGTCACAGGCTGTGGCTAAGATCCTGGTCCCTCTAGGGCAGATATGACTACACCCACTGTCTCTGTAGGATTGACAGAGTGCTGTGAGCAGGAAGGTGTGCACTCAGAGCGGGCGAGCTGCTGTCTGTCTTCAGGTGGCATTGGCTCAGTGGCTCAGGCAGTGGCTCATAAAGTGGTCAGCAGACATGAGGACATGCTAGCTTCACCCACTGAACCACCAAAGCACCTTCGCAGCAGAACACTTTGGCCTCATTAATTGGCATTAATGGTCCATCTAGGGCTTGTCCATTACCTCCGAGCTAACTCACGTGAATAGCTGGTTAGGAAAGGTCTGGGTCTGTGCCGCCCGGGAGTCAAGCAAAGCACTGGTTCCTAAGATGGTCACCTGCTTAACTGAGGAATAGCTATTAACACAATGACAGTAAACTGCTTCTTTGAGAGCCATGCCTTTTTTGATAAACTGTTTCTGCTCAATTCTCACAGAGCCCAAGGGGAGGTAACCAGAAAGCTCCTCAGTCTCAGTGTTTCCCATTTACAAAAGCTGGAAAAATGGTTACCTTCTTTACACCTCTCTCCTCCCTCCCTCCCTCTTCCCCCCCCCTTCCTGCTCACAGTTGTGGGAGACAGGACTCTACTCCACTGGCCTGACAACATTAGTTGCACGGTGTGTGGACGCATCGTGCCTGTGTGGCCTGATCCCCATGGTGGATAGATGGTTTGGAGTGAGTAAACCCTTCAGGACCTCCCAGGAGTTACAGAAAGCCCTCCCTAAAGACACTCCTTAGCCCAGCTTCTAGGAGAGAGGGACAGAGGTGACAAGTAGCTGTTGTCCAGAGAAATAGCAATCCCTTTCCTGGGACTGGAAGGAAGTGGCTGAGACTGAATCTATATTGATCCCTGCAGTACCCCACCATAAGGAAGTAAGCCCACCCTGTTGACTGGCTGGGAAGATAGGCATTTGTGAGGCAAATTCCAGGTGAACTCCCTGCCCTGTGAGCAGTGGGGGAGGTGCCAGACCAAAGCCAAACTCATTTCCTGTGTGTTAGGACCAAGGCTGGAGGGAGAATCCTGATTTTAAGATACCCTCCCTGCAAACCCCAGGGCATGATCTGCCTGGTGTTGGCTTCCTGAAAGCTATGGCAGAAGCCTGAACACCAGCGTTATCAGGGAACGAGGAGCCCAGGATATGGGTTAGGATCCTATCTTGTTCCTGGCCCAGATAAATCTATCAAGACTTATCTGATCAAGAGGCAGGGCCTGTCATACTAGCAGAGAGAGGCTCATCTCTTAGAGGAAGCTCAAAGAAGTCAGGCTGTCAGGACCAGGTGTCCTCCAGAGGACCTTTGAGCACTCGCTGGAGAGCAGTCCCTGCCTCCCTTTATTCCTCCTGATCAGGAAAATGTTGATTGTCTATGGAGAGCACTGTATAAAGGACGTGACATGAGCACAGCCATATTGACCTGTGATTCACCCAAGCAGCGTGGACGTGCCATCACCCATAGCAACAGGCTAGTTCAACTGGTGGTCTGATCTGTTGCCTAGCAAATGTAACCCATAATAGTTGTTATTGTACTACGGTTTCCTTCTGGAATGTGTGGGCGGCACTCTTTTTCCTCTTGCAGCCTTGTGGCTGGAGAGTATAAAAAGGAGAGGTTCTGTAATAAAGCAAGCAAATACCATGAAAAGAAAAGTGCCTCCTGTCTCTCTGTTCTGTCCTTTCAGGTTTAGGACTTGCTGGCAGGATCCTGTCGCGGCTCGCGACAATTGTCAGTACAGGAAGACTTTGCACGGAAAGGGAATCAGAGGCCAAACTCAGAAGTCCAAGTATAGAAGTCCAGACAAATCCCACACCGCTGTTAGAACAGTCTAAGTCCAGGTAAGTTCTGCAGGGAAAAACCTGGGGTTCGAGGGGACAATATCAATGTGAATCCTTGCTATTTGGTGGCTGAGAGAATAGTGACAAGGGACAATGCCATTGTGTCCATGGAGTGACAATGATAGAAGGAGGTAGGATCTGGGTGACCCTCAAGGAAGGGTTTGTGCTGGGGGCTCAGTCTGTGACTATGGTTGGGTCCCTCTGAGGCAGATAAGTCTCTGCCCCCTGTAGAATCAAGGAGAGATGTGAGCAGGAAGGGGCAAACAGAGCAGGGGCAGCCACTGTCTGTCCTCAGCTAAGCCATGGTTTAGCTGCTCAGACAGTGCCTCAGATCAGTGGTCAGTAGACATGGGGACATGCCAGGTTCATCTACTGAACCAACAAAAGCACCTTCCCAGCCGGTCACTTTGCCCTCACTAACTGACATTAGTGGTCCATTACATCCATTACATCTACGCTAATTCATTCTGCCAGTGTCATGCCAGTAGCTGGCTTGGGAAGGTCTGGGTCTGTGCCACTTAGGAGGCAAGCAGGCCACTGATATCTGAGCTGGTTGCCCGCCCTCAAGGAGGCTCACCTGGGTCAGCTGCTATATAAATGTGCTGGATGAGGAGGGACCAGGGTGGATCCTCCTGGTCCCTCAGGGGACTTTTTTTCAGAAAATGGCATAGCTTCAGGTCAGGATTAAAACCAGAAGGCTGGTCAGTTCCCTGCCCTTCTCATGGCTCAGGCACCTCTTAAGGGCATCCACTGTCTCCCTACAGCAACCTCAGGTTGAGAACATTTGTGAAACGGAGTGAGAAAAGCCCTTGTCTCAGGAGTCCAGAGCATGATTGAGAGGGCCTGAGTTCAGGAATCTCTCTCTCTCCAAGGACTCAACTGTGGTTCCTGTTTTGGGTCCATCAGCCCTTCATGGGAGGAGAGTCTGGGCAAGTCACTTTACCAACAAGGCTGGTGGGATGAATCAGAACCATGAACAGGCTGGGGAAGTAACCTTCCATCTTCTATGACTTGTGGCCACCCAAGTTTCCCGGATGGAGGAGGGAACTGAGGCAAGGAGGCTAGTATGATGAAAAGCACCTGGGCAAGTGGGCATGACTTGTCAGTCACGCAGATCCAGGACATGTGCCCAAGCCTTGCACCTGGTAGCACTCAGAGAATGCTATCTTTACTTCTTCTGGCACAAGTCCAGGCAGGTTTTTGATAGGACAGCCTGGGCCTGATGTCAGAATGGGGCAGATAAGTTGGTGGCCATTAAGTTTGTGGCCACTGTGAGCCTTTTCACCAGCCTGCTCTGCACCACTGCGTGTGCATTTCTTTTCCTGCTTTACTTGGCCCAGGCTGACTGCAGTGCATTTCTTTTCAGCGCAGGTCTCTTGTCTTCTCTTGCCTTTAAAAATCTTTAATGAATGTAAACCTTTCTATTTTGTTTCCTGTCCGATTTTTTTGTTCAAGACAAGAGGAAGGAGCCCTGAGAGGAGCACAGCCCCACAGCTAACAGAAACCAACCCTACACATCTGATTCCTCCCTCCAGAAAGAATTGAACTCGTGTGTACTGACGAAGCATCAGGCCTTTTCCCCCAGGCCTCATCTCTATCTGCTTAGATTAAACTTCACAGCACAAGATAAGAACCAGGCAGGGAACCAAGGAAGAGGGGAAAAGTCCATTTCCTCAGTTCATATGGCTTCTAAGCAGGATCTGAACCCAGGCCACCAGATGCCAGCCCCTGGCTCTCAGAAACTGTATTGTCTCCTCTCAATAGGCAGAGCATCTATCTAGTGGAGACACTGACTCTTGTTGTCCCTCATGGTAGCGACGATCAAACACACGTGAATGTGTCAAAGCAAGCCCATGATGCCACCCAGACAAACTTCTCATGGCAAGATTGCCCTGGAAATTCCTAATCTCTACAACACACTTCCCTCCTGGTGCCTGAGCTACAGGAACTGTGTCTCCAGGTTCAAGGTTGTGCCTGCAAGAGTCCTGTTCCCCCAGATTCTTCCTCCTGTAAGTCAATGCTCAAACCTGTGGGGATCATGAGTATTGGTTGTAAGTATTGTTAACTCTAGTTAACTCCATATGTGTTTAGTTTCTCCAGTTTAGCAGGTAAAGTGTTTCCTTTGTGGAATTCCTGAAAGTTACAGTTTCTTGTCTCTGACCTTTAGATGTGTGGTTGTCCGGGTTACTACTACTCACAGGTGGGTTGTTTTTGGTGAACCTGTTTGCTCTTTTCCTGTATGACCTTTCAGTTACTATGGTAACCCCATCCCATAATAGTTTGTGGGTTTTTTGCTTTAAAAGGCCGGTGCTTGCCGGCAATAAATGCCGCCTTGATCAGACTCTTGTCTTGGCGTCCTTCCTTTCTCTCTGCCCCATCTCCACCCCGCTGCTCTTTCAGGTTTGAGACACTGCTGGACAGTGCTCTGCGTCACCGGTTCTCGACACAAACCCAAATCAAAACCTCTTGTGCACATTTCCTAGGAGGTGCTAACAAACACAGCCCTAGACTTTGATGCTTGATGTGACAAAGGTAGGAAAGGTTTGGCCACCTGGGCAAGATCATTTTTATATACCACAGCAAGAAGGCATGGTCACAAATACAGCACGCTCTGAATGCAGAGGAATGGTACCCTCTTTTTTGATGGATCATTTAAATATGAAAAGAACAAATAAAATTCTGTCCATTATTTTTTCCTCTCCTCTTTTGACTTCATCTCCTGCCCACATACCTGTTCCCTGTCCTCCAGCCTGTTCATCTAGGCTTTGTTGCAAATAGTTAGGGAACTTGGACAACATGTTACTTCTAAATTTGTGTTCACCATTTCCAATGGCTCAGGAAATGTTAAGGGGTTAGTAGTGTGAGAATTCAGTATTTCCCAAGTACCTACAATCATCCCACGCATAAAACAGTCCCTCAGTGTGTACAGTTGGTTGCAATAAACCCCCACAGAGCCCTACAGAATCCCAGGCCCTTGGCAAGTACTCCCCAGGTAGGAAGGGGTCATTGATTTCTTGGAGTTTCTCTTTAGTAGGTCCTCCTGGGCTATTTGCAGAACACTGTGACTGCTGCACGCTGACAAGAAAAAAGGAAATGACATTATTCAGGAAAAAGCAAGCAGGTGGTGAAGGGAGGTCTGAAACAGAGTACTCATGCATACACAAAAAAAGTCATGGGCACGGTGTCTGCTTCTCAGAGGAAGAGAATGACAGATGCCTCTGGTCCTAATCGCAATTTTGAAATTAGAGGGAGAAGAAGTGTTCTGGAGATCAGAGAGCCTGTCTGTCATGTGCTGGGGATGACAGAGGACATTCCCCTCACCAAGAGATGTCGCCTTTGAAGAGGACAGAGAGGATGGCCCAAGAGGGCACTGAGGCAGGCCAACAAGACGCATAAACAACAGGAGTCTGAAAAGCCAAAACTCAAAAACATGACTAATTAAATTACAATACTTTCATATGGAGAGATATGTAGTATATATACTTATATGGATATATATATATATATATATATATATATATATATATAATCTTACTGATTTAAAAAACTGTAATATGTTCACACGAGGCTTTTTCTTTTCCTATGTGCATATTCCAGAGATACGGAGGCTTAGCCATTTGACACGTAGGTGAACTCCTGAATGACATGAAACTTTGCATGTGGCATTACTGAAACATGCGGCCAGGCCTAGGAGGCTTGGCGCCCCTGATCTTATGATTGATAGTAAGAACACAAGAGAAAACAGTCGTGGATGAATGTGAGAGCAATGAAAGCAAGACCTCTCGCTGCACACAGTGAGCTCAGGGTGAGAAAATTTGAGAAATGGAGTAAAAGGAGCCTTGGGTGAGGAGTCCAGAGCACCGTATGGAGGACATGAGTTCAGGAAATCCTCCCCCAACTCCAGGGACTCAACTGTGTCATGGGTCCCTCGGCTCTCCACATGACACTCTGGACGAATCACTTCACCAACAGGGCTGATGGGGGAAAACGGGGGCGAGAACAGATACCCAAACAGAACTGCAGAAATCATCATTTTCTCACACAATCTGGGATGTAACCTTCCCTCTTCCATGACTTGTAACCACCCAAACTTCCTGGATGGAGGGAGCCTCTCCACATGACCAGTTCCTTCCTCCAGACTTTTAAAACTGGAACGCATACGTGCACTTGTGAAGCACCAGGCATTTTCTCATCAGTCGCAGTACAAGACTAAGAAGCAGGCCGGCTGCACACTTCTGTGCCACACAGAAGAGGACCAAGGGAAGGGGTGGGGCTGTCCCTCTCCTGGGTTCATGGGTGGGATGGTTTATTTCTAGGTGCCCTCCCTAAACTTCATGCATTTTAGGCGGTGTTTGGGAGGTGACTGGATCATGGGGGTGTGGTACCCATCACTGGATTAGTCCACTGATGGGATTATAGCTGTGTCTGATGTTGGGAGGGGAGACCTGGTAGGAGGAAGTAGGTCCCTGTGGCTGTGGCCTGGAAAGGTCTCTCCTCCTCCCTTGATCCCTTGTTGCTTCCTGCCTGCCATGCCATGACCTATTTCTCTTCTGCCTTTGCCCCTCTTCCATACCACCTCGCCTTGAAACCAGCCAACCATCGAAGGAAACCTCTAAAAACTGTGAACCAAAAGAAACCTCTCCTCCTTTTTTTTTTTTTTTTTTCCCGCAGTACCGGGGATTGAACTCAGGACCTTGCGATCGTGAGGCAGGCACAGCACCACTGAGCTAAATCCCTGGCCTAACTTCTCCTCCTTTAACTTGAGGGTGATGAGTATTTTGTCTTAGCAACAAAAAAGTAACCAAGAAAATTGGGCTTTAAGTGAGCACCAAGGCCAGACCACCAGATACCAGCAGAGATACCAGTCCTCTGCACTGCCCTGTCTTCTCTTAATAGGGCTGTGCCCCCCAGAGCTCAGTGGACGCTTCAAGTTTCCACTCCACAGCAAGATCCCTCTGCCTAAGGCGATCTTGGATTTAGCCCCTCTGAGGTAGCCGGGGAACCAGAGACCAGAAACAGAACCTGGGGTAAGATTAATGATACTTTCCCACCACCTTCTCTGTTACCAACATTATCAACAGTTCCAGGATGAAGACTCAAGAGTACAAAAAAGACAGGTAAAAACGTTCAAACAGTACACCAGAAAAGAGATCTGGGATCAAGGAAACCACCTGCCCACGCCCACCAGAGGATATGCAGCCTGGAAATGGGCATCTGGCAAACACCAGGGGAGCCATGGACCCCTCCAATGCCACCTACAGGCTTTGTGCCTAAAAAGCCACGCAACAGAGTGTTTGAGGGAGGAAAGACTGCATTTCAACAGCAGGGACTGAGTCTGGGGAAAAGAGACGTGAGCAGGAAGGTGCTGGTTCAGAGCAGTGTAGTCGCTGCCTGGTCTCAGCCAGACCTCAATCCACCTGCTCAGCAGCCAGTCAGATCTTAAGTCAGTGAGGCACCAGGAACCCAAAGACTTGTATTCTGTCTAAGCCCCAGCCCAACAGGCCACCTCCAGGCCTCCAATCAACTGCTCTGCTCACCTAGCTTCCGTTGGCTCTGGCAAAGCTATTTATAACAACTAATAGATCGGCAGTTAGCTTGACAGTTGCTCCAGAATGTTGGCAGTTAGGGGGAAGGGACTTTACCTGACCCCAGGAGCCCAGTGCTGGAGGGAGAAGAATTTGAATGCCCTGAGCCGTCAGTGGTACTTCATCTCAGGGAGAGGCTTTGTCTTGGGGTTCACAGATGAAACCATAGAAACAAGAGTTGAGTCAGGATTTAGGCCATTTTCTGGGGTGAGGCACTTCCTCCAGGACATCCACAGCTGCACTGTAGCCACCACACAGCAAGAGGGGTTGGGGGAAGAAGTGAGGGAGGTCCTGGGCTGTGTGTCCAGGGCATGATCTAGTGGTCTCGGGGCTTCAGGTACCTCTATCTCCCTGCCTTAGGGCACTGGGATGGGACTCTGGGCAAGTCACTTAACCTCTCTGAACATTAGTGCCCTGATCCATGAAACCAGAGTCCCAGCCACTGCTCTGCCCACCTTACACCCCCAGAAATGACACTGCTCCCATGAGTGATAAAGCCTCGGCCCCATCACACCCTGCCAGGGTGAAAAGGCAGTGCCACCTTCCCTGAGTTATTGCTTCTCGTATCTCTTTATCTGGGACCCCAGGGACCAGATTGTGTTCATTCTTCCAGACACATAATTACTGGACACTTGTGTAGATGGCACTTATGAAGTATCCAGTCACTTGTCTTTGGGTTTTATCTGTATTTACTTATCTTGGCCACAATCCCAGATGACTCCCCTCTGTCATTACCTCCAAAGTTCTCAAGCAGAGAAATGTGCAAAAGTGTGCATGCTAGGGCTTAGTTTGTACAAGCAGCACTCTCACATCCTGGGGTCATCAAGGAGCAACCTCCCCGCCCCGTATCCCGGGTCCAAATAAAGCCTAGGATTGTCAGGTGTTATTTTGCAGCTCCTTAGGGTTATCATTGGGCCAGTTGTTGCATCTCCCAGAGGTTTTCCTCTGGGAAACTTCTGAGGCCCAAGGAGGCGAGGAGTCTGTTCTGAGGACCTGTGGGGCAGCCCAGAATGGGATGATGCTGGACC